AATCAATTCAATCCAAACAGAACTAAAATCATACAAAAATGCTAGCCTAACTAACCATATAAGAAATCACATCATATTACCTGACAATGGCTACGGTAGCTGTAACGGATGGACGTATAACAATAATAGTAATAACACTATTCTTGAACGAGAAAAACAAAAAATAATAAAAGCCAAACAAATTATCTGTGGAAATAAAATCGTTTAAATTTTAATACCTGTAATGGCACCACCACAATGGCCGAAGCAAGATCAATGAAATTTTTTTTTCTTTGTATTTATATAGAGAGGTAAAGAGAATATTTTTTGAAGTCAAAATTTTATCAGATTAGGATGTAGTTGATCATCACTAATGAAAAAACTGAACATGCTAATAGGAAAGGAGTATATTTCACCACATATTCTCAATTGATGATTGATAAGGAATTTGTTTTTTTTTTCTACTGTGGAGAAGGGATTGATTAGGGAGTCGATTGTCGTGGAGATGGGGGACGAGGATTTGGGTTTTTATTGAACCCGTAATATTTTTTTTTTTTTTTTTGCGAAAATAGGAGGTGAAGGTGCATTTGGTCTGCATTTGCTTTTATGTCTAAGAGATGTGTAAATAAAAATTTATTTTAAAAATATGATGTGAAATGACACATGGCAAATGGTGGTGCTTTCTCTTAAGTGTGATTTTTTGTTTTTAATATAGTAAAATATTAAAATGCAATCTCAAAAATTTTGATTAAATGAAGATGGATCATTTGTCTCGTAACTATATAATACTGCACCTAAGTTAATCGTCAAACAAAAAAGTAATTACTTTCGATAATATAATAATAAAATCCGTCATGTAGATTAATTATTTGATTCCCTGCAAAATCCCGTCGATCTACAATAGAGACTACCATATTTCTGAAAAAACTGACGTCAAAACTGTTCTTTTCTACCAGGCCCTTAATTAATTCTACACTTGGTTCTACCAGGCCCTATCCTTTCTGCTCTAGTAGTTCCTCTCGCTTGAGTATATCCAGAGCGGGCTGAATCGGGAGCTGGATTACGAAATGAATCAAAAGGATACATCAAGAGGTTTTGTGCTCTTGAGAGTCCTATTACACTATCACATTAGCAACAAATTCTAGACAGCTTTGAGAACTGAACCACATCCAGCATCCAGCTCAGAGGATCCGCCTTAAAACTGGAGTACTGGACGATGGACCAGAAGCAGCAAAATGTTCTCAACCTGAAGCCAATAAAAAAATTGTGGCCGAATCCCTTTAAAGCCGGAACTGGACCAACGCCACTCTCTAATATCCCTTTCTGTATCTAAGCTGTTGAACTAAATTCTTACGAAGAAACGACAAAAAGGACAAAATAAAATTAAGATAGACGAAAAGGGACTTCTAATGGTTGCTTGGTGAAAGATGTATAGCACCAAAAAATTAACCGGAGGAAAGGAAAGCCGGTGAAGAGCTGAAAGAATGCTGGATATATATAGCACAGGAAGTCTTTTTATCTAGCTAGGTTGGTTCAGACGCGTGGAGGAAAAAAAGTAAAAAATTATCGACAACATTTTACTGTATCTGCCGGCAGCTCAACAACCAGCTATATCCACTAAAACAAATATTGCAGTAGTGAAATGAAATAAATGACTGGAGATTGAGGCAGTAGAGTTAAGATATAGGATGAGGAAGGCAGAGTATTAAAGCTTTGTGGAGTTGAAAGCCTAAAGAAAAACTCAAACGAAAAGACTTGCTAGACATCCGAACTAGGAACATTTTTGAAAAGTTGATAATGAACATCCAACATCGGATGAATGATAATAAACTTTGCTGGTTTTAATTTAACTGCATACAATTGTTGAAGACAGTTGAGTCATAGCATTCCTTTTTGTTAATGCATTTTTCTTAAGTGCTATTTAATTGAAAAGCCAGAAATTTTCTATGTTAATTTTTCAAGTTCTACTGGTGGTGTTTACACCTTGAATTTGATCAGTTTGTTCCTGCTACCTGTGCAAAAGCAGCCTTTTGATCAACGTTGGCACTATTTTTACATATTAATGACATCAAGCAAAATTAATGGTGTTTTGGCTCCATTGTTCTATGTCAAAATCCTTAAATCTGATCACCAGTTGACGCTTTCAAGTACAGTGAAGTTAATTTCTTGCTCTTTTGTTTTAACATGCAACGGTTTCTTCAACATTATCATAGTAACTTTGGCAAAGATGTCAAGTAAATCGCAAAGGCTGGTTTGGCCACCTTTTAAATTTGAACTCATTATGATAACTTTTATAAAATACACCATCCTTATTCTCGGAAGCAAAGAGTAAGACTTTAAGGTAGTTAAAAACTGATGGAGCTAGTTTCTAAAAAGAACATAAAGTGAACCACCACCAGAACCTGCCAAAACAAAGAAAAGAAAAGGAAGCGGAGTTCTGCAACTTACATAATTCCCCCTAATTTCTTGAGAATCCCAATTGAATATAAAACAAGGGATTGGTAATCTGTTACTACTGTTCTTATCTCTATGGCTTAAGACATATAATCCTCCCCGAATTATTGTAAATTCTGAAACTTCAAACTTAGAAAACAATGTTCGATACAGAAGGAGGACCAAAATTATGTAGGGGGTCTCTTATGGCAACACCCACACAAGCTTTATGCCTTGCAGCTTTGTAGATTGTGCCTATCTTGGAACTCCGTCAGGGGGCGATCATACCTGTTTTAAACCACTTTGGGTCTCCGGCAGTCAACAATCCCCCTAGCATGTCTCGCGACTAAAGGGTGACCGTGCAACATGCTTGTGTTTGAGTCCAGCCGGGCAAGAGTATGGCCCATAAGGTTGCCTTGCGAACATGCATTAGCAAGGAATTGTAGAAAGCTTGAGAACTGAATCCCATCCAGCCTCCAAAACTAAGGATCAATTTCATAATTGCAATAAACAATTTAGAGGTTGTATAAATTCTCAGAGGCCGTGTGAATGGTAGCTGAATCCATCCCATGTCGGGAGTGGACGTCATTTCTTTTTCAAATCTCCCAGGTTTCTCTTCTTTCTGTCTAATCTCTTGCCTAAATTTCAACCCACAGAAAAGATAAAAATGAAAATGGAGGATAAAGGAATTCTGAGCTGATTGTCCGGTGAAAGATTCAGCACCAAACCGGAGGAAATGCCGGATGAAAACAGGAGTACCCAAATTTATAGCATCAGAAGGAACCCAAAATTTATTGATATTGAAATTATTGCATCTCCTAACAGGCCAACGGCCAACCATTTTTTTAATTTAATACAGTACTGGAATTAAATAAAGACTATCAGCTAGCTACTTAAATTCTGACCGGAGGATTGTACTATGGAACTGATGAGCTCTGGCAAACAAATACAATAGGCTCTGGAAAATGTAAAAACTAAGAAATGTAAAAACTAAGAACCAGGAATGATGAGTGACGAGCGATGGCATGCAGAGAAAGCAACAAATGGAAAATAACTGAAAGCATAAATAGAGAGAAGATGGTTTTATTTTTCTTTGATTTCTTGATAGCTAACTGTATTAATACGAAAAAGTAGCCCTCGATAATTATCACTAACGTTCATTTCTCCAAGTCTATAACATTGTCATCCCTGAATTATTGTGACCTTTTCTAACATCTAGAACTGTCGGGATAACGATGCTCAAGTGGATACTGGAATTTCCCACTGCTTCGGAAGTGGCCCAATGTCATATATGATTTCCCTATGGCATGACCACACTAACTTGATAGCTTCTGGTGTCCCGATTCCAGCCCCCCTTGGATCTCCAGCAGGGCCAAACCTGGAATTCGTACTTAGTTAGCAAACGAAAGAACCCATACTGCGCATCTCAGCAAAGAAGACAGTTCTCAAATTTTTTAAAAAATTTTTACTACTCACCAATGATTTTGTGGAGCCCCCGTAGTTCTTGCTCTCAATCCAGCATATGTGGTTCCATTCACTGATTGTCCAATTACTTCCTGCCATATGTGTAAGTTATGTATATACATGCACTATCCAAAACTAGCATTAAACTGATGTTTTAGGCTCATTCAAAAGTCATTTATGAGTTGTGAAAACTTTACCCTATCAACGGTTATATTGTTTTCTAGAAGAGCTAGACTATTTGTAGGCGGTGGTTTATGTTACATTAGTATATCTATCAAGAAATGACCTGAAGGTTGAATAGCTTGTTTCGAACGTCAATTTTAAACAAAGACCAGGGGTCCTTAAAGTATTCCCTAGTCATCGAATTGATCTCATTGATTTACGGAATGCAAACCTTTCTTGGTGTTCCTAACTTCAAGTTGTGTGAATGTATCCCACGAATCTAAGCCAAAGGGTAGGTATACAGAAAGATTACATATGATGGTTCCAATGAGGATGAATTGCAATGCGTTCCCCTACATGCCAATTATGACATCCAATAACACCATGCCATGCTAAGAATTTCCACCCTGATAAGCACTGTGCCTGAGGGTTCGATGAATTGAGTGATAATATTAAACATCAATAACATTGTATTCCTATCCCTTTTCACACACCCTTAGACTGAAACCACTCGCCTACTGCTCTACAGCTTGCTATCATCTAGTTGAAGTGTAGACACCTAGCAAATTGATCCTATGGAGCTACAGCTATTGGTGGCTGGTAGCCTCACTGCTTGAGTGATTGCATGCAACCAAGACTAGAATAATGGTTCAGATCCTTGAGCCCTGTGAGGAAAGACCCCCGACAGAGTTTCGCCGAAAAGCAATGAACAACATAGTGTACTCAATAACTTGAATGAAGAATACAAAAACTAAACATCTCTTTTATCCTTTCCTTGAAGATGGCAGCCTGATGTATAGAAACTCTCTGCATGCAGGCTCCAAGGAAGGATTGGATCATTAATGTCTAGTGTTTGGAGGCTTCCATAACTATAGGAGGCTTTTTCTGCAACTCTAACCTGTGCTTAGAGCTGCCACAAGGCTCCCTTTTATCCTTTAATATTGATAACTAGATGGTATATTGGGGGAGAAGATGGTATATAGGCACCCGCCGTTCAGAAGGTCACACATACAGCACAGTTCCGAAAAAAAAAAAAAAAAAGAAGAGCAGAATATAATGCTGGAACTTACTTGTAGAAACAGCATATCATTTGAAACCACAGCAGCTGTCAGGTGAGCATGCATTCTTTCAAGGGCATTCAACACCATAGGAAGCTGATTATCTTTGTATTCCGTAATAATCTGATAGTAAAAGCATCACAAGCATCATCATACCAATGAAACAAAAAAATTACTGCAGAAACGAGTCACAAAACGTAGAATTCTCATCAAAAAGTTCAACCAAATAATACAATATTTTATTTGATAATACTCTATTACCTGGAAAGGACCAAAAATTTCTTTGGTCACAAGTTCAAAATTGTCGTTTTTTAATATTTCCTCAAGTGGAACAAATATAGCGGTAGGTTTAATGGCGCCGTAGATTGCAGGAATAGAATGGTTCTGTAGTGCATCGCCACCAAAAAGTAACTTAGACCCTGGAATCTGTAGCAACTTATTCTTGTGCTCCAGCATTGCTTCAGTTGTAACCTGCAAAAACATACCAGAATTCATCCATATAAACTGATGATGAAAAAAACAAGATTCACAGAGTTGTGCAGCCCTCAATTTCATAGAACAGATGTAGAACGCAACTTAAAGTGCACTGCCATCGGAAAGAAGAACAGGGAACTTGGAATCCAAGGAAAAAAGTCATAAGCAGCTGCAGTATAACGCCAATCATGAAGGTAATTAAAAAAATCCTTGAGCTTTTTCTCTCACACCGCAATTTCACACATGAATGAGAATAGCACAGGAACTCGAAAGCAGAAAATACAATAAAAATGCAGTGACTGAAGCAATGTAAAAATTTTATTAGGCATTCATTTTGTGATGATAAATTGAAATATTTACAACCAGTATTCATGGGTTGCAAATTCATTCGAATGAAGCTATAAGATAAAACAGAAACAAAATTTATGTGACTCATGGTCTGTAGTTCTGAAGTCCAAAATCCGAATAGCCAACCCCACAGTAGCATTAAGTCCTTGCTCTGTAGTTCAACAAATGGCAATGCAGAAGGCATCAAGATCCCAAATTACTCCTATATTCGGATTTACTAAAACTTAAGTTTCTCTGCCTAATAGCCAGTTAACTCCATCTTAGAAAGGCATTTTATCAATGAATCTAATCAAAGCTGGAAGCAAAGAGGCATTTGGTTTATCCATGGTGCACATGTGGATTGAAATTCATTCAAAAAGGATTTGGGCTAACACCATTTATACTGCACCAAAGTGCAAATTACATTTTGAGGCCAAATCATAAAAAAAATAAATAAATAAAATAAAAAACCCTTATAATCACCACTACAAAAAATAAATATGTAAACAAACGGAAAAAGAAAACGAACAATTTTGCCTCTTTTACTTGTCATCAGAAAGGGGTGACTCACCGTAAGCACAGGACCAATTGTCAGATCATCTAGCTTCCTTCTAGCAGCAAGGTCTTTCATTTTACCTAAGAGAGGACTTCTACCCCAGTTCTGCCTTGGACACAAAACAGAAGCAAAGAAAATTGTTAGGTTGACAACTTTATCAGTTCAAAGAATGAGTAGAGTAATATGACTACTTCAAAATTGTGTAGATTAGTACTCAGTAATAAAATTCAAAACCCAAGTATGTCTTGGTCAAAAACCAGATGCATCAGACCGACAGATCAAACCTCATGCATAAATAGGATTGATTGAGCTGAGCATTTCTGGCCACTGCATGCATAAGCATCCTGATCGCAAACCCAAGAAACATATTCCACCTAAAGACACGGTATATTAGAAACTGAGCACATAACTCAAATCCAATTACTCCAATGGGAATATTGAATCATAATAACAAGAGATTTAACCACCTCCTGAACATCAGGCCCCAGGATTTTCCAATCAAATCCAGCATCCTCCAGTTTGATACGGCCTTTTAAGTCAACAGCTAATTTATCAGCTACTCTTGAGCTCCCTGTGAAGAGGGTCATGCTTGGTTTTGCCTGAAAAGACAGTTTGTGGGTATAATTAGCAAACTTCTAGGTTGAACCAAACCTGAACATACATTTCTAGAAAGGGATACGATGACAAAAAGATATATACAGACGATGTCTCTTTTAGAAAACCAATAGACTAAAAACAACCACCTACGATGGGGAATGGTAGTTCATACACATCTGCTAATGATAGTGTGGATGTCTTGAAAAGTGATGTCTACCAATTTGGTACTTCTAGAAGTAAACCAAAGTTCTAAGTTGTCAAGTATATAACCCGAATCCGTCACTTTTGCACTAATGAAGCTTAAAATTTGAAAATTATGATAAGTATAATTCAAGTAATGAGCTTATGTCTGAATCCTTTCTAAGATGTCAGTGCTTTTATAAACCAACCTCCACGAGCAGCTTATTCATAGTCTTTCCATCACAATTAATGAAGTCAACGTCTTCCGTAGGTAAACCACTAGCATGAAGAAGTCGAAGCATTTGATCCATAACAAGTGAAACCTGTGCAATTTACAGAAACAACAACTAAGAGAGGGAAAATATTATGCTAACCAAACAAAGCAATACGCCATGAGTGTGAATGTGTGTCTTAAGAGAACAACAGATAGAGAGGCTCTCATAAACAACCATATCAGCTAAACAGAAGTTTAAAAACATGGTGAAAAAGTCAAAGTGATAGCTGATTTAATGCATCAATTGTTTAAGGACCCTTCCAAGACTTTCCTTTTTGAAGTAAGGTGCTGAACTATGCACATACAGGGAAACCTTCTATTGCCAAATAATCTTGAGAATGTAAGTACTCTTGGAGGTTCAAAACTTGCCTTGCTATCAACTTTAAGAACTGGTTTGTTTCCCATATAGAGGGCACCCATCAACTGTAGCACAGGAATCTCCAATGGAAAGTTGAATGGAGTAATAATCGCCACCTGCAAAATCTTAAAACTTCAGCATCCGTGGCATATGGAAATTGTTATTACCGTAATTATACCTTTCTGCTTGTGCCTAAAAACTACACTTCACCAAATTTGTCGGATTCAAAGACCACTACCATGCCAGATTCAATAGCTGCCAGGGGACGATTGTACTAACTGTTTAGAAAAGGTTCAAGTACTTCTGCAGAAAATGCAGTTATGCAATATTTAACAAACAAAATCTAGGTTCACCCAATCAGTCTCATCAAAAGACTATCCATACATGTCTCTCTTTTTTTTGTAGACATGAGTAAGAACTATAAACCCTCCAACTTTAGATCATCATAAAACAATATTCAGTACCTCACATCAAACATTAATAAGGGCTGAACAATCCAAAAAAATTGCATGCTTCTTAATGTTTAAACAAGATTACTCTGCAATCTTTACTTCGTACAATTGGTACATTCAGAATAACAAGTAATTTTACGACTGCCTGGTTCAACAAAGTTTGAGTTGATGCAAAACTGCATTATGCTAAGAGCTCAAACTGTAATATAGGACGTGAAAAAATTTAATTCAATAGTTATTTGACCGGGAACAATATTATTCAGTTTCTCAACCATTCATTCTGGACTTATTTCAACAATATAAATCTCATTAGTATTTCACAGTTTATATTCATAGAGCTTTTACAGAAATGAATTCTTTCAAGAAAGGAACTTACAGGGCCATAAGGCCAGCGAAAACCATGGCTTTGCTGTCCAAGATGATTTCCAGGTACAGCAAATGACCTAGCCAAGAAACGAACCTGCGATATTTAACAGGAGTTCACAATCAAGGAATTAAGCTGCCTAGTAAAATCAATGAAAAAGAATAAAGCTCAATGCTACCACTTGAAAAGGTCATTTAAATTTCATCATCACCAGAAGTGAATGTGATGGTTACAGAAAGAGAAAACAACAGACATGTCCAAGCACATATGCACAATCCCTCACCACTAAAGCAGATAATGTTGGAGAACAAAAGTAATTACTTGATCTGCACCTAGATCCTTACCAGAAGAATTCTCAAGAACTTAAAAGGAACTAAATGAAAAAAAAACAAAAGCAAATAAGGAACAAGAGGTGCAGAGATTCGCTGCACTACCTGGTCACCTGAGAAATTCTCCAAAAATTTTTGTGTAACATAAACCTCTCCAAAAGCCTGTTGATAACTCTTTGGAGCCAACCTTTGTATTAACTTTGTAAAGAAATCAGATACCTACGTGAAATGCACAAGTTAAACAAGAAACCGGGGAGGGGGGGGGGGGGGCCTAGAGGAGCAAACTATATCTAATTTATAGTGTGATATATAACCTCAGGCAGGGAAAGCAAGTGAGCTGCTTTTGCAGATACGTCTCCAAGCATGAGATACCTGAAATAATCCAAAATCAGGTATGGTGTTAACTACGGTAGATGATATATTTGCCAATCAAGTAATGTTTTGAATAAATTAGTAATATAAAGACTGTTTTTTTTGGATGAAATCAAAAAGCAAAAAGAGGGAAGGTCGGCATAAAGTAAAAGAAACTTGAAGAAAATCTGACCTCTCGGGCGATTTAAATGGATTATGCAGACCATGTTTGGGGCACTGACGCAAGCTCTCCACAAATGGCTGCAAAAGAATTCAAATACCAGAGAACCCTTAGGATACAATTCACGGAAGTTATTTACTTGAAACAAAGTCAAATGCTGCACTCTAAGAAATTATACAGTTAAAAAAGTGGAAATGGATTCAAAGATGCAAATTATATTGACAGTGTACATAGTTCACCCAGATGCAAACTACATAGCTAAAGGTAAAGAGCTAACACATAAACTAAAACCTAATTAACAAATTCTTTTCTCATAGAAAAATCCAGAAGGCTGTAAAAGCATTGCTGATGATGGTTGTGGACCTGTACTCCTCTTCCATCTACTTCTGCAACTTTAATAAATGGCTCTCCATTTAGAGGATCCACTAGTGTATTCCAAGTAGAAGATCCCATCCACTTTCCCTGCACTACAAAAAAGAACTTTCATAAGACCAGTGCGGGACAGCATGTACAAACAATCCCCAAAACAAGTCAAGCTAAGTGGAAAAAATTACTGCACAACAGAATGGATAAGTGTATAGATCGTTCACAATGATTACAATATGAAGGATTTTTTTTTTTTTTTTTTTTAACACTGCTTATACAGCAAATGGTAATTGTAACTATGCAAAAAAAGTCAAAAGGTTCACCAAGTTGAAGCACCTACATAAGTTCTGTACTTCTGCAGGTTGTGCGCCTGATATATCTTCAACTGCTAAATTGGTCGCAAAAGGTAAAGAGTGAGCGCGCCTGAAATTCATACAAGACAATATCAAAGCAAAGAAATGCCACCATAGAAAACATACAATTTGATCAAACTGAGCCAGTTACTTAGTGAAGATATAATCAACAGTAATAAGCAAGAAGTCTGCAGGAATATCTTCTAAGCTACCGTATGAAAGTTCACTTGGTTGAATAAAGTAAATAAAATTATGAATAAAAGCCTTTCTTCTCACTCATACTATGAAACCACAGTACCATACTAGATCACATTTTTTCTGAAAGCGCACCAGTGGCTCATAATAGTACCAGGACTCTATAACTGCTACAGAGATCATAACCAATTTCCAAGAAAAAAAAAACAAAAATAAGATCCCTTGACAAGAAGTTTAAAAGTAGGAAATCGATTTTTGTCCCCGGTATACATTTGATGAAAAGCAACAAAATGCCAAGATGATGCAGATTTCAGAAGTAGCATGAAAAGATTACTAAGATCCAAATGTAAATTTTGACCATCAAACAATTCAACAGAAAAAAACAGTAACACTGCAAACAAAGTCAGCAATGAGTATCAATTCAGGTTGTCCATCTAGTTAAATTTCCAGCTCTGTGAGGTCTTCCACCCCAAGCATCTTCTTCCTATCAATCAATTAGTGCCAATATTTGCTTTTACTGATGATCAACGCATGCTAGATAAACTGATTCTGTTTGAGTGGCGAATTCGGAAAGTCATACCAGATGCAGCAAAAATACACAATTGCTGAGGGTGATAGGCACTACAACTAGATTCTACTTTAGCCTAAAGAGGAAGAATTCCAATAAATACAAACTTTTCCCAGAAACATCTACAAAACACCAACTACAGAACACTCTGATTCTACTTTAGCCTAAAGGGTAAGAATTCCAATCAATGCAAACTTTTCCCAGAAAATCTACAAAACACCAACTATAGAACACTCTGCTTTCTTTTGAATTCAAAAGAAAGCCCAATCAAATTCCCATTATAATGTAATTTTGATCATCAAAATGAAGAAATTCTGTGGAAACGAAATACAAATAATAGTAATACCGCAAAAAAAGATGTAACAGGAACCGAAAATCATTAAGAACTAAATCAGCCCACAATCCAAAATCATATAACTCAATCGAAGAAACCCAACCAAGAAAAGGAAAAAAGAAGAAAGGCAAACCTTGAAAAACTGAACGTGTTGAACCAGCTTACAGTCATTTGAGGAGCTTTCCTCCTCAATTCTCCCAATCCCTTCAGTCTATACATGATTTCTGCAATAAAAATCGATCAAAAGTCTTTCACGTTTCGATTCACAAATGAACGAGTATTACTATCCACTAAGCCACACTGGGAAATGGAAAGTGCCCAGTATCAATTTGTTTTTTGGTCTCAGCAGATTTTGTTTGTTTGTTTGTTTTGAACATGTTTTTTAAGGTTACATTTTCCAGTACCTTTTTCCTTGAATTGCTCGCATTTAACATCCCAATTAAATCTGACACGACAGCTCCAATTCATCAGTTGATTCTTTTGTTTTGTGCTTATCTAATCAAATCCTAAGGTGGGCGATGCACCTGCATGGGCTCAATGATTGTTTATTTCTTTTTCGACTAATTTACATGTCAATCAATTGGATATGTAAGTGACATAATTTTTTAACACTTTGAAAATGCTAACATAATTTTTTTTACCCAAAAAAAAAAGAAAAACACGTAGAAACTTAAGCTTTGTATTAAACAAAAATTTATCTTATACTGCATTCTAATTGATTTCATAAGTTATTCGGGGGAAAAAAAAACTATGTAAACAATTACAACTATTTAAGATCAATAAAAGCAAATTCTTAAAATTCAAATGATTACTAATGAGTTTTTAACAAGCTCAACCCCTATTTTTCTGTCCAAGAAAAGGTCAAATTATAATAAAATGTGTAATAATACTATACTACTAGTATTATAAACACCGACTTGTATTTTTTTTAATTAAATAGGAAAGTTGGAAAGAAATTTGGGTTCTAACTGACTTAAAAACACTCAAGGGGTCTACCCAAGGGATAATTTTTTAAGGCTGTTATAGCCAAATGATATGATACACCCAAGGAGTATACCCAAGGGATGGATAAACACCGACTAGTATTTATCTCGTGCTTGCAAGAAAGAATGTGACAGGCGTAAAATGTTTTCAATAGGGAGATGAGACGATTCTGCTTGTTAAATACTAACATATTTTAATGGAATTTAATTATTACAAACATGATCAAATTCAAATTTTGGAAAAAAAAAATAATGGAGTTTAACTATTACATTTTAAAAAAAAATTCAAAAATTCAAAAAATTTTAAGTAATAAAATATTCACTAAATATTATTAAATCACGAAATAGTCAGTAAAAATTAGATATTATTAGAATATGAAAAAGTTTAAATAAATAAAGGTTTATCACATCGTATTTTGGCTTTGTCCCTGGGTAAATTTTATAAGTTATTTTTTAACTGACATAATTAAATTTTGGAACTAAAAGAGTTTAAGCAAAAGTTGTGATTCACTTTTACCCTTGGACCATTAATTACAACCTTATCAACTTCACAAATTTAATTAATCTACAATAAATTATCACAAACTACCAAAATTAAATCATGATTCAAATTCATGTTTATGCATTTTAGGTTAGAGAATAATTAATACTCAACCACGTGGTTCCTGTAAATTTCCTTGCTGAATTTTCCATATAATAATAATAATAATTATTATTTTTATTATTATTATAATAATAATAATAATAATAATAATGGTCTTCATAAAATAACTTTTTCTCTCTCTCGTCGACTCGCTGTGGGCGAAAACACGCACACTGTGTGCTCTGACGAACTTCGATTTTCCGGCATCAAGTATGTCTGTGAAAATAGGAAAGATGAAGAAGGGAGCGAAAGGAGTTGGAATCGCTACAGATCAGCAACCAGTGGAAGAAAAGAAACAGCAATTGGGCACATCTACGCTCGAGAATTGCTCTATCAAAGCGAATAAGGTCAGTAACCCTAAATTGACGGTTTCACCTTTAATTAGTTCAATTACGGTTGTTTTTCTTTAACGATTGAGTAAGAATAGAGTCCTGGAAGTAGTAGAATGCTCAGAGATTTGTAATCTGGAAGAGAAATGATGTGATCATGAATGGGCCATTATGTGTCATACCTAACCATGATGATCATTACATTGATTGTGGTCACACAGGGGGTGTATGGTATCATATTGAGGTAGGCATCAAGGATGATGGAAGATTGAAGCCAAAGAACGGCTCGCATCAAGCGAAACTCAAGCCAACAATGAAGTTGACAAGTTGGCGTCAAGTTTCTGGTTGGGAGTAAAAAGTCAACAGAAAGGTCGACAAGACATTGTCGAGTACTTTGTCGACCGACGCCAAAGCCGACGGCAGAACCCCAATTTCCGAATAACGGGTTTTAAACAATTTTTCTTGAAGTTTTACAAGATTTTCGGCCTTCCACATGTCAAATCATACTCCAAAAAGTATTTCCAAGGTGGTGAACGAGAATTGGAATTTTTACTCAAGAGAAATTATATTTTATTATGTTTTCCTTTTTAGACTAGGTTTTGTTCCTATTAGTGTTGGGTTTTGAATTTTCCTTATTAAATTCGGTCCTCGCATGCTTTTACCTTTGTTTTAGGATACTTTTATTATTATATAATTGTGACATGTACAATTATTTAATTATTTCATAATTTTTAAGTTTTAGGAAACTTCTAGTCCAACAAATCTGAATAAGAGTTGTAATCGTATTTCTCTTCCTCTTTGGCCGACCAAGACCCTCTCTTGTGGCCTATAAATAGGGGATGTGGTCGTGGCTTTGAGGTAGAATATGATATGACTTCAATAATAAAGAATTTTATTCATAAACTTGTGAGATCCCTCCTTGTTTTCTTATTCTTGCAAGAATAACTTGCTTTTCCAACAAACTAGGGTTTGTTCTTGAACCGTAGCTCACCTTGGTCAAGTTTTCAAGTGTTCTTGGTCTGTGGATGCTTTATTTGACATTTTAGTTGAGCACACCAAGCCTTTAAACGTTGATCTATAACGTGTGAGGAGCTTTGGGTCGTTTTGACTAGGGTTTCAAATCTTAAACACCTTCTCCATCTTTCATTCCCTTCCATCTCATTTTTAGCTTGGATTTTGTTGGTCCAGCTGTTCTTTTTCGTGGTTTGTGTGCTTGCATAGGTTTTACTTCGTGGTTATACAAAGATTCAAACATCCAGGCAACTTTTCAAGTCAAGCTTCCGCAATAATCGTACTTCGGATAAAGATTCAAATCAATTTGGCCTCAGAGCTAAAGGTTCATTTGTTTCTTTGTGTTTTAGTTGATCTTTGGCTTATCCTTGGTTAACTTGTTTCAAAACTTTGGATTTTCCCAAATCTCGCATATTCTTTATTTCTTGAATTTTTTTCGGTCTCTCTTGACCTTGATCCATTCGATTCTATATTGTTTGATTTTGTTTTGGTTTTCTTGTGAAAGAAGAAGGAAAAAAAACGTGCACAAGAGAAAAAAAAAAGAAAAAAAATCGTTCAAAAAAAAAAGGCAACAAAAAAAAAATCAATAAATTGTTTTGTTGCTTGTGTTCTAGGGTTTGTAATTTTGCCTAAACTTGTATTTGAAGCTAGGGTTTTGATATCTCCCTTGCTTGCTTTGGCCGAGAACTAGGGTTTTGGAAAGGTGTACCCTAAATTTCAAAAGTCTAGTGTCTTTAGGTTCTTTATGCGAGATTGCTAAAACTTATTTGTAACTATCTTGATCTAAATTCGTGTTCTCTTTAGATCTAGTTGCAAATATTCAGAGTTTATCTTTCCTTGACCTCTTGTCTTTTAGCGCTTGTTATTCTCATTGCACCAAGAATAAATTACAAGGATAGTGGTAAGAAAATAGTGAATTCATCCCTTACTAAATTCTAAACCTTCTTGGGTGATCTTTGGGAGTGAATTGTATAGTTGGGAGGGGTAACAAGGTAGTGAGTTCTTCGATACTCTTGTTCTTGTGTGTTTTTGTGATGTTATAAGCTAGGTACAATGCAATACTGTGATCATTATGATGAAGACTTACAAGAAGAGGTTGAGTCGATGGATAGTTTCTATGACATACTTGAAACTATGATTGTGCCTACTAAGGGAGAAATTCATCGCTCCTTAAAATCTATGTCAATACAGAATTACTATCAAATTAGTGGAGTTCCTAGTCTTGGTGACTATATTGTAGATGATGATGAAGTTTCGGATATTGAGGATGATGGTACCTTATATAACTATTTTGATGTTCCTATCGATGATGACTTTGAACACGAGAGGTCTTCTAGGTGTCAAGAGGTTCTGGGGATCACGCGATATCGTGGGCAAGACGACTATTACTTATATGATCCTCCTCCGAAGGACATTATTTCTACGACGTTGATGCTACATGAACAAGCCATTGGTGATGATGTCCAAGATATAGCGGCAAACGACAATGATGCTGAGGTAGTTGTGGAGAATGTTTCTAACACTAAGGATATTTCAGTCCCTACTATTTCTACATCTTGTTCGCTCAAAGTGATTGATGAACATGAAGACCCACATCTCATGCATTCATATGAAAAAGTTGAGCACATTGATTTTGTGTTTGGTGATAAACTTTCAATGGAGGTGGTGGTATTTGATCCATTCAATGACATTATTAAAGACCCAGGATCGTACAAAAAGAAGACAAAGAAGAATATGAAGAATTTTTTCCTTTGGAATTCCATGAAGCACGATTCGAGGACAAATCGTTTCGAAGAAAGGGGGAATGATGTGATCATGAATGGGCCATTATGTGTCATTACATTGATTTTGGTCACATAGGGGGTGTATGTACCATATTGAGGTAGGCATCAAGGATGATGGAAGATTGAAGCCAAAGAACGGCTCGCATCAAGCGAAACTCAAGTCAACCATGAAGTTGACAAGTTGGTGTCAAGTTTCTGGTCGGGAGTAAGAAGTCAACAGAAAGGCCGACAAGACAGTGTCAAGTACTTTGTTGACTGATGCCAAAGCCGATGACAGAACCCCAACTTCCGAATAACGGGTTTTAAACAATTTCTCTTAAAGTTTTACAAGATTTTCGGCCTTCCACATTTCAAATGATACTCCAAAAAGTATTTCCAAGGTGGTGGACGAGGATCGAAATTTTTATTCAAGAGAAATTATATTTTATTATGTTTTCCTTTTTAGACTAGGTTTTGTTCCTATTAGTGT